CTGGTCCAATTTCAGAGATGGAAAGAAGTCATCTTTATATATTTGTGGTCATCAACTACTTCACAAACTGAGCCAAAACTTATCCATTGGTTGATATGCCCACATTGTCCATGGTTCAGTTTAGAGCACTTGAAAAGATCCACATGTATTAGAGAGCTAACTTTAACAACCAACTTTTCTCTGAGTCCTGTAAAGTATTAGGTGTGGTGGAGATGTGCACTTCACCTTATCTTCAGTCTGGTGGTTTAGTGGAAATGATGATACATGCTATCAAACATATGTTTACTAAGTTTGTTAACTAAGATGAAACTGACTGGGATGAACACTTGCCCTTTGCCATGATGGTGTATTGTACAACTGAACAGAGATCAACAGGCTGATGTCTGGTCAAGAATTCTTAATTGCTTTTTGTAGATATGATGTATGGTTTTCCATTTAGAGCAGACATCCCAGTGTCCACATAAATATGTTGAATAGCTAGCAGTTTAGGAGGGTTGGTGCTAGTAGATATAAGGCCTAGTGCATAAGGAATTTGCAAAATGAAAATGATGACTAGGAGTTTGAAAATGCAGTAGAAAGGGCTTTGTAACCATGTTTTTCTGAAATACTGAATGATTTTTCTGGAGCTAACGAGTGGAGGCATTTTGTATCATTTGATTTAGCTAAATAGCAAAAGTTTTGTTGGAAATACCACATAATCTTCACTAGATTTTTGTTTTCATTATAACTGAAAGGTGTATAATTTCTACACGTGCAATGAGAGAGTTGTTTTGTTTAAGTGAGTGTATATTGATCTATAACAAAGTAACAGCACAAAAAATTAATCCTGACTCACAATAATTTTAGCTAAAAGTTTTAGTTCAACTGAACTTGGCTGGTGATTATTTATTTGATGATGCCTGAAAAGAAAAACTAATGAAACTAACATGAGATGGCTATGAAGTAAAGTAACTGGGAACTGGATGCAGTCTGTTGGAAACTATTAGTATGTGTGACAATGTATAGTGAAGATAAATTTAAATAGCACAAAATGAGTGAATATATACATATGTGTGGTCCCACATGTATAAGAACATCACCTAAGTCATTCATGAGTGTTGTGTATCATGAATAAATAAATTGCATAATGAACACAATTATTAAGCTACATGCAAATAGAAATCAAAGATTTGATCTGGATATTGAAACTTTGTGATATGAAGTTACCTGTGATTACTGCCTAAAAGGTATTATTTGAAAAGGCAGTGTACTTGTTATTTTCATTAATGTCCATGAAAGAATGTTTCAGTTTTTATATTGAAGTATTTAGCAGGTAGTGAATTTTCATGGAAGGATAAGAGTAACAGAGAGATTGACACTGTTTTTGAAAAAACAACAACATAGTTTTACCCAAGGTCTTTTCAGTTAGAGTAGTGCAAGATATTTCAATTGGATCCAGCTTCAAAGTAAGCTACATTTTGCTGGTAGGGTCATCATGTGTGCAGCTATACAGATGCTGGAGTTTGTGCATGTATATATAGTTTATATAAATGTACAAAAATTCTCTTCTGCCAGCCTTGGGATAAAGTCAAAACATTTGAGTGGGTGAACTTATCAGTAGCATAAATTAGTATCTTAAATATAAACTTGGTGTACCCAGTACTTTATTTGGTTGTGATAAAATATTTTCAATCATGTAAATTGAACTTTTGAAAAAAAAAGCACAAAAATTTTCAAGGAATTATTTTAAACTTTTTTTCATGATAAAAAGCTGTTTGAGGAGAATTGAGGTGCATGAAAATACAAGCTGTAAGTGTATTAAAAGAAGGCAGAAAGTAACACTCATGTGGTGAAACTTTATAAATCCCACCATAGCTAGTACTAATATTGTAACTGAATGAAGGTCCATAAGGAAATGCAACGAAAGTTTTAGTGAATACTAATAGTCTAAAGAGAAGGTTAACATTGTTTAATCTAGGTCAGTGTATACATGTGTAGGTTCTGGTTGATGGTAAACATGTTGTTCAAGGGAGGGACAACAGAGGGAATCATAACTAAAATGTATTGGTCAAGTGGAGAACTCAATGAAGCCTGTGGAGTAAGCAGTTCACAAGCAACAGAGATACATATTCTATGGGCAATGAGAGCATGAGCACATGTAAACCCTCTAAAATGCCATTTGACCGAGGCAATATGCATATTACTCTACCATGTTGGAGGATTTGCTATCAGATTTAAAGAGGGCAAAGGAGGTCAGGCCTCTTGGCTGACCTGGGTGATTGTATATATTGTTTATACTTTGTTTTTAATTTTTAGGATTTTTATTTAGTAAGTATTATGTATATATATTATATGTATATGTGTGTGTCTATATTTATACCCATTTTTCTTTTTCACTTTTTTCCTATATGATTGTCTATGTTAAAGGGTGGTTTAGGTTATTTATATGTAGTATATTTAAAATTTTACCTGTAGATTTTCTGTATTTAATAGATTTTATTTTACATTTAAGTATGTTTAGATGAAGAAGTTAATTAGTGTGTACTGCAAAAAAAGGCTTATTGCTTAAGTTTTTGCATTAGTTTGTGCTATGTTATTTCTATATTAAATGGTATACTTTTAGTATGATTTTGTACTTGGAAAGAGATTGTATTGTAATGTTTTTTTGGTTGATGTTTAAAGGGTCTGTATGTTATAGTGATATGATGATTTTGTACTTTTTCTATTGTTTTAAATTTTGGTTGGATTATATTTTTCTTCTATTGTAAAAAGGTTTTTTATTGTCTCACTATGAAGAACTGCTAAAGGTATTTTAATTGTTTGTGGTTGCAACTGCAATATCTTTTGTTAAATGTTTTAATCACAAAACTGTGTCTGGTTTAAGAATTTGAAATAATGTATTTTTATGCTAAAGGGTTTTTAAATGAGATTTTCATTGTTAGAGGGTTTATTTAAATGTGAGTACTTGTATTTTTGTTAAAGGATTTTAAATTATGTATTCTTTAATTTTTTTATAAAAGGTATGTTGTGTATTGTTTATATATATATATATACTTGTGAATTGCTAAGGGTTTTTCTTTTAAAACTGTATGATTTCATTATGTAATATATTTACTTCTTTCTTCAATGGTTGTGATGTTTGTGTGGCATGTAACTGTTCTTTTGGGAGCAAAAAAAAAAAAAAAATTAATGCAATTCTGGACCAGGGCACAAATTAAAAATTTATTGGCTGTAAAATTAAAGTTAATTCTTTACTTGAGGACAAGCCTGAAGTTGGAAAGATATTTATATACCACGTTTCTGTTTTATTGTAGTATCATAATATTTATCCTGAATTAATTTTTTATTCTGAATATGTGTAGTTTTCACATATCAAATGGTTGTGAAAACTATTAAGTTGATCATGTTTCCAAGTTGTTTTTGTTTTTGTTCCTTTGTTGTTCTCAGAAGTGGATAATACCCATTGACACCCAGGGAGAACATTGCTTAATATGATATGTTACATAAGGATGCTTGCAGTTGTAGCCTTCAACAGATCAGGTGATGAAACTGTATAGAATGGACGGCAACTGCCTGTTGTAGAGACACAAGAGTAGAGGACAACGTTTCAAAAGTCTTCCACCTTTTGTCTTCAGGATGAAGACTTTTGAAATGTCATTTTCTACACTTGTGTCTCTACAACAGGCAGTTTCCATTCATTCTACAAAGTTTCGTCATGAATACTCTGCCTAAACAATCTATCACAGAAGTTCAGGTGATATTTTGAGATTACAGTCCCATCTATGTTGTAATAGCAATTACCAGTCATGCAGGTAGTCAGTGTCATTCTGGGTGAATATGAAGTTTCTTGCAAAATAAGAAACATTGCCTGTGGTTCATGGTTTCAACTTGAATGATTGGAAAGAGAAGAGTGATCATCTCCTGCAAGTAAACAGCAAGTAGACAGACTGTTTGTTTTTCACTGTAATAATAAAGATTGTGAATTTTGTTTTACACTTCATGTTCAGTCTCTTTATTTCATTTTACATTGACACAATCAGGAAAGTGTACTATTACTCTGTAATTTTGAAGGGGGTCAAAGGCTGCCTGAAGGGGTCACCTGTTTTAACCACTCACACCATTATACAGTAGTGTGTTGTCTGTCAGTCAATCAGTAGACACTAAAATGACATCACATAAGATACACTTAACACTGCAGTTTGTACTGTTATGACATCAGTAAAATGTTAGCATGCCATGAATCATGAAATGAATTATGCATTTTATCGGCTACAAAACAGGATGATATATGAACTTCAAAAGCAACAAATAAAAATATTTGTTTCTCTTAATTTTGGTTTTATTTACTCTTGAAACAGGGACCCTATGGAAGTACAATTAGTTGATATCTTGTTCGAATCTCCTGCTATCTATCAGACCTATCCAGTATAGCTCTACAATTAATTCAGTTTCACCTAGATATATCACAATTGTACTACCAATTAAGTTTCAGGGTTAACATGTTGTCTGTTGCTAGTAATTGTTTAACAACTCAAACTACTAGATTGTTTTCCTGTTGAAAGCAAGTGCCATTATCTCAGAGTTATAAGATATCATTAGTTAGGAGCCAGTTTTTTCTCTGTTAATTTCATTTTTATATCTCTTGTCTCAAGGTTGAACCTGAGATCTCTTGTTCTTCAAGTAAGTGCTCTATCAACTATACTTCTAACGATTTATTACCAGAACTTGATACTTTTAATGTTTCTTCAAATACAGTTTTTATTTTTTCACAGTGTTATACATATATTGTGCATTTTGGGAAACTTTCAACTTATTTAGTTAAATTGTGTTAAGGCTAAAAATTGTATTCAGTACATTTTCTATGCCATTGGATAACCAAATTTTCAACATTAAAATTTAAGAAAGCATTTAGCAAATATTAATTATGTTTCTTAGTATTTGTGATTCAACATAATATTGATGTATTCCCATGTGTTGGACAAAAAAAAAGGGGGTAATAACCTTTAACATTACTTTTTCAGCGTCAAGTACTTTGGGCCTTAAGCAGTATTGTGAAACATTCAGTTGAGCTTGCAGAACTTTCTGTTGAAGCTGAGGCTTATCCCACAGTGTTGTCTTTGCTTAGAAATCAAGATGAGTTAGTTTGCAAAAATGCAGCCATATTTGTAAGAGAAACTGTGAAACATTCATCAGAAGTAAGTAAATTGTATAATATTATTTTATAGTTTTTCATAAGATTTAGTTATTTTAAAACTAAATAAAACTACTTTGTGCTTAAAAGTTACCAGAGAAAATTCTAAATGCTAGTTCATTTTGAATTTTGCACTCATATACACATACAGTCACAACATATGAAATTTCACACTTGTGTCCAAGTATTTGTGTGTGATGGTTTTTGTGTCTGGCTTGATTGGTTCTTTGGGTTATTGTGTCTACATGATGGGGGCAGGATTATTTATCACTTACTCAATTTTGATTGGCTGGGCTGAAAAGTGAGACAGATTTTTGAAGAGAATAGTTAAGTATAAATCGTTACTTGTAAGGTTTGCTCTTTGTTGAAATATACTTAGATTACCAATCTATTAACTGTATGGTTTTACTTTTGTGTGTAATCCAAGTATTTCATAATACATACTTTAAAGTCCTTATTAAAGTGATTATTAATTCATGGAACTTAATATAGCACAATGCTATATCTGTCATTTGCTTTATCCAATTTACTAACTTGCACTTTCTTAAAATTCTTTATACTTATTTCTCCATTTGAACACAAGAACCTAAACTTATCAAGTATAATTTCCACAAGGTCATCAATTAATGTTTTATGTTAACCAAATAAAAAATATTTTGCTGTTTATGAATGAACATACTTATTTTTCTTCTCTCAGAGTTTAAAACAGAAGCTCATCTTCCAGTTTTTGAACACCAACTCATTGCTACTTTATAGCTAAGTGAAAACATTTTATGATGCTTTGACTTGGACCTATTTAGTGTTTAGTGAACCTTAAGGTTTTCAGTGTTTGTCAGTGTGTTTATAGAAGTCACTGTCACGTCATTGCTTCATAGAAGGATCTATGCCAATTGTAATGGGAACTTAACAATTGCTCTTTGTGCAGAGAAGTCTATTGTTTGACTCCATGTGCTCCTCAATACTTTATTAGATAATACAATAGCTAGTTGTATGCATATTTATAGGGGCCAGATTAAGGACCTGGGTGGCCTGGAGAAAATTTTGTTGGGGTTCATTAGAAATAAACTTTATAAATAAGTCAAATACAGTTCAGTACTATTTATTAACTACAGTTTGAGCAATACATAAACACAAGCAATTGGTAGCTAATAGAAAATATTGTTGCGTCAGCGAGGTCACATGACTAGTGATGCCACGTTTCTAGAACTATCCTGTACCTTGGCG